AAACAAACAAACAAACAAACAAACAAACAAACAAACAAACAAATAAGCAGACAGTCCTGACCTGGCTGAAGAACATGAGGTGTACAGACGAACAAACAAACAAACAAACAAACAAACAAACAAACAAATAAACAAACAAACAAGCAGACATTCCTGACCTGGCTGAAGAACATGAGGTGTACACTCCGCCATCTGCTATGCTCGGGGCACTGTCTGATGTAGGGCACAAGGAACTTGAAGATGACATGCTCCAGCAGTAAGACCAACACGCCAACGATGAAGCCCACACACAGGAGGACAAACAAGCCTGGGCAGAAACAGGGAGTCACGTGAGAGGAGGGAGAGGGAGGAGGAGATGGAGGGGAGGAGGGAGGAGATGGAGGGGAGGTAGGAGGAGGAGAATGAGGGGAGGAGGGAGGAGATGGAGGGGAGGTAGGAGGAGGAGGAGGGGAGGGAGGAGATGGAGGAAAGGTAGGAGGACGAGGAGGACGAGATGAGGGAAGAGATGGAGGTGAGGAAGGAGGAGGAGGAGTTTAGTTTTGGTAGATCTAGAGGTTTTACGGCTCTCACAACTGCATAAGGTCTTGTGAGCGCCAGAAGATTATAGTATTACAAGAGAGTAACAAATATAAAAAGAAGAAGGGGAGAAAAAAACAATAGATGTTTTATAGGAAAGAAGAAGCAAAGAGGAGAAGATGGAGGTGAGGAAGAAAGAGGAGAAGGAGGAGGCATTGTTAAATGACAGGGGGTGGGGGGGGGGGGCTACAATCACAAAAGCATTTTTTTTTTAAAATGTGTTCTTCAAACAGACAAAAGAATGAATGGAGAACCATGATCGCCGAAGTCAGCCAAAGATCTGGCACTTGATGATGATGATGGTGGTTTTTCAATTGTAAACTTTCTATATTGCATAATGCTCTATTTATATATTTTATCTGCCTTTCTATCTTCTTATCCACCCATCTACCTGTCCGTCTTCCTGTCACCTATCTATGGAAAGAAAAAAAGAAGATTTTGGTATCTTTTGTGAAATGTTACCGGTTGTTCTTGAACTCCTCCCACTCCCTCCACCCCCCACACACATTTACACGCATATACACACATACACACATACACATACACACACACACACACATAGACATGCCACATATAAT